GTGAACCGAGACCATTAACTGGGCGTGATCTGTGTATAAAAGGAAAGTTGAAAGGAAGAAGAGGGGGGAGTCCAAAGTGAGAGAAACCTTTTTCTTCTTCAAGAATCTAGAGAGAGAAAGCCACGAACCAAGAGGGAAAAGAAGCTAGGGTTTGATCCAAGTCAAGATTTGGGAAGTCCTCTTCAAGAGAGGATATCTACAAACACAAGGGAGGATTGACGCATCACAATGATTATTTCCCCCCTTTCCTTTGTGTTCTTCCTTCTTCTAGCATGGAGTAGTCTCCTATTCACTTAAGTGTTGTAGAACCCTAACTTCTACCATGTAGTTAATTGTGTGGATTGAATGATTTGTGTGGGTGCTGTTTAATTTGAGATTTGAGGTAGTTAGTTAGGTGGAAACAAATCGCTAGTGAAGCTTCTCACCAAGAGTTTCAATCCTTTTAATTTTCAAGTCCTTCGTTTTCATCGTAGATTGTAGAGATTTTCAAACACAACAATCTGCTAGATAATGTTTCAAACAGTCGAAGTAGGGGTAAATGGGCCAGCCTTTAAACATACTTTCCCTATATTGGAACCGTTTAAGGTTTATACTTGGGCCTTAGGTGCGATTTAATTGTGATATTCGGGTTGTCAAGTTTTTGGCCCGTTGCCGGGGATCTTTGGTTAGTTATTTTGAAAAAAATTGTTTGGTGTTAATCTAGCTTTTATTTTGATTTTTACTTGTGTGAAGTGTTGCTTTTGCTAGACGTGTTGTGGTTCTTTTGAGTGTGTGCATGACAGTGTATGACCTAGAGTAATCCGACACCTTTGGTGCCACTCAACGGGAATCTCAACTGCACTCTCAGACTCTGGGCTCGTGAGAGGGAACTGGCGGAAGCAAGTCGAAGGATAGAGGAGAGGGGCCAACCACAAGTTGGTCCCGAAGTAGAAATTGAAGTTGTTGACGATTTTGAAACCGAGGAAGAAGGGAGTGAAGCTGAGATGGCGGATAACCAAAATGAGCAAGTAGAAGCTGAGGGAGAACCAAGGACTATGTGCTATTACATGGATCCATAGGCAACGGATATCCAATCTCCCATCCTACATCCACCCATGATCGCCAACAAGTTTGAAATCAAGCCCGCTCTCGTCACCATTATCCAAAACAATGCCTTGTTTCATGGGCTTGCCAAAGAATCACCACGGGATCATGTTCGAAGGTTCCTTTAGCTTGCGGGAAGCTTGAAGATAAATGTTGTCTCCGAGGAGGCATTGCAACTGAGGCTATTCCCCTACTCTCTTTCGGGGAAAGTGCTCCAATGGCTCAACAACCGACCGGCTCGCTCTATCACCTTGTGGGATGATTTGCTCAACAAATTTATGACCCGATATTATCCTCCTTCCAAGATGGCCGAGTGGAGAAAGAAGATTACCCCCTTCGAACAAGAGGAGATGAGACATAAAGGGATGCATGAGAAAGATTCTCGAATTACTTCCTCCAATGCCCTCACCATGGATTTGAGGAGCAATTTCGGATAGAGACCTTCTATGGCGGTCACATTCAAGATGACAAGATTCTAATCGACTGACTTTGCCAAGGGAAGTTGATGAACATGACTCCACCTCAGGTGACTGAGTTCCTCGAAGACATGGATCGCAAGGGATACGATTGGGGTTTGACAAGAAGTGGTAAGAGAAGAACCGAAAGAAGAGTGCAAAGTGTGCGAGCAAGTGCTCCACTTGAAGCTAAGCTTGACAAGTTGATTGAGGTGATCCTTGAGGACAAGAAATAAGGGAAGAAAGCGTTGATGTCTTGTGATTGGTGTTCTAGCACTAATCATGAAATTATGGATTGCCAAGCGATAAAGGAAGCAAGTACCTCCGAGGAGCAAGTGATTTTCATTGCCAACGCTAGAGGGAACAACCCTTATCGCAACACCTACAACCCCGGGTGGCGCAATCATCCAAACTTCGATTGGTATTCCTCTACCAATCCGAGACCCCCCGGTTTTCAAGGTCCGACCGGCAACTACCCACCTAGGTCAACTTTTATCCAATAAAGGCCTCAATTCCAAAACTCAAATGTCCAACAATCATACCAAGCACAAGGTGGTCAAGATTTCGAACAACATAAAAAATCGACAAGTTTGCTAAGCTTGAAGATCTAGTGAGCACGAACTCTCAGAAGTTTGAGAAAATCGTGCAATTCACGGAAGTGGTGACCTCAAAATTTACCTCGGTCGAGGCGGGACTCCGAAGTCATCAAGCAAGCCTTCAGAACTTGGAGGTGCAAATTGGCAATCTTGCCGAGATCCTCACCGAGAGACCAAGGGGAGCTCTACCTTCCGAAACCATTGCATACCCCAAAGAAAAAATTGTCGGGGTGAATGCGATTCAATTTAGAAGCGGGAAGGTGACTCCGGAGGTTGCTGCCAAAGAAGTGATCGAGAAGGAAAACTCTCTACCAGAGGATGGAGATGAAGAAATCTTGGGAGAAGAGAAAGGACTGGAGAGGAAGGCATCACCAATGCCACTTATAGTGGCTGAGTACACGCCGCCCCTTCCTTTCCCCACGAGGGTGCACAAAGAAAGATTGGAGGCGGAATGTGGAGGTTTCATTGAGATGCTAAGAAAACTCCACCTTAACGTTCCCTTCTTTGAAGCAATGTCCCACATGCCACGGTATTCAAAATACCTCAAAGGGCTTCTCCCCAAGAAGCCCAAATTCCAAGATCTCGCCAATGTCACCCTAGGCGAGGATTGCTCCGCTTTCATCATCAACAAGTTGCCGAAAAAGCAACCCGATCCAGGTAGTTTAACCATACCTCTTTGCATCGGCACTAATCACATAGAAAATTCCTTGGAAGAATTAGGAGCAAAGATTAATGGGATGCCCTTTAAGCTCTTTAAGAGGCTAGACATAGGTGAACTATAGACTAGTTGGCTTAGTGTCACATTGGCCAATCGCTCTGTCATTAATCCCAAAGGCATTGTGGAGGACGTGCTAATACTAGTGGGAAAATTCTGTTATCCGATGAATTTTTTATCCTTGATATAAGTGAAGATTTGGAAATGCCACTCATACTAGGACGCCCCTTCCTTGCGACCACCAAGGCTTTAATAAATGTTAATGAGGGAACTTTGATTCTGAAAGATGGTGAGGAGAAAATTACTCTTGGAATTGAACCCAGGCCTAGGAGTGAGGATGTAAAGGAAGTGGAATCGAATGATATGAATGCAAGTGGAGGAGAGCCTCCCAAGATGAACCCCACTATTACTTTTGTTTGTTTTGGTGATGTGAAGCAAGAAATTAAGGAGGGTATCACACCCAAAGAAAGGAGGAAGAAAGCTTGGAGGGAAAGGATGAATCACGCTATTGCCCGAAATAAGCACAAGGGCAAAACGAAGATCATCGGCCTAGAAGCCCACCCTATTGAGTTTAAGTTGGGAGGCAGCAAGCCTCGCCCCGAGATCATGGGGGATACACTCTCAATGGATTCATGTTCTGAAGCATAATAGTTCTGCAACGTCAAGCTAGTGACATAAACTTAGAGCTTGTTGGGAGGAAAACCCAACGTAGAGTTTGTTTTTCTTTTCCTTATTTTCTCTTTTTGTGATTGAGTAAAGAGTTCAAGTGGTCGAAATGGTATCCCCGTGCTAGGTCTGTGTGATTGTTTGTTTTGAGATGTGTTGTGATCGATAGTAGGGCACGACAGAGTAGGCCGAGTCAAAGATTCCCGAAAATTCCCTGTGTTCATTTCAGTTCACGGTTTGTGCTTGCAGTTCACGGTCTTAGTTGATCGTGAACTGATCAACATGTCCGTGAACTAGGGTGCTTCCGCGTTTTAAACAAAACTCGTTGTTTTACACCACTTCACGGGCTCCGAGTTATGTACACAGTCTTAGAGACTGTGAACTAGTCAACGCGTCCGTGAAGTGGGGGTTCTGCCTATAAAAGGGGCGTGAACCACTCATCTTCACTTCACGACCACTTTTTGCCGGAATCCATTCAAAATCACCGGAATACCACGATTTTCGTTGATTTCATCGACCTCTGGTTACCCAAATCCAAAACCAATCACAAACCCAGTCTTCCCACGCCGAGGGCTACCTTCGCAGAAGTTTTGGGGAAATGTGGCTCATAATTTTTTTTTTGGAGAGGCGATTTCTGGCGAGCTTCCGACGAAGCTCCAGTGACACCTCTCCGGCCTGTTTTTGTGCAATTTGTTTGACTCCCTCGCCCTCTCCTCACTTCTACTTCGATCCTACTTGAGTCTCCAGGTTTGTTTTCGACATTTGCTTGGTTAATTGTTGGAGAATCGAAAGGTGATTTTGTGAATTGAATATTGAATGTACAAATTGGGCAAGGGATTAGTTTATTTTTGGTGAATGAATGTTGCATGAGGCTTGCATGATCTTAATTGAGCCTTGGTGGGCATGATTTAGGTACAAATTGTGTTTAAATGTGAAATTTGCCCACCAAGTGCAAAAATGTGAATGAATGTGGATACTTGATGTTTGTGTGGTGGATGGTAGCCGCCTAGGCATGATTTAGGTTTTATATTGTGTTGATAATCCGTGAAACACCTAGAACCATGCCGCGATATGCTGGAGCTTAATTGTTTGAATTCTTGAGGAAAATTTTCAATGGCATGGAACCGTAGTGGAAACATAAGTGTGGGGGAAATTCCTTTTCCTCCCGATGAGTTGAGATTGACAGTTATTTCCACGTATGGTGCATGTTTGAATGTTTTGAAGGATGGTTGATACGGATTACGAGTACATCCACTACTTGGTGAACCACGAACGGTTCGGAGACAAGTTTGCGCAACAGAGGTATATTGAGGTTGGGCCTCATTGGATCCTTGACCTGGACATGTTCAACATGTTCAGGTGTCGGGCGACGATGTCAGGGGTCTTTTTCACCCCTAGTGGCGCCAGCTGTTGATAGTGGACGAGCTCATTAACCGAGAGCCTGCGTGGAGTTCTACTCCACTTTTTCCCACATAATCTCAGCGTGTAAGCGGAGTCGACCATATGTGGAGTTCATGCTGGGAGGTCAGCCGCGGGTGCTGACTTACGACGGCTTCGCTCAGGCCATGGGGCTCGACCCCACTCACATGGAGATGACGGAGAGGAAGTACACCGTCGACTTTCACTACCAGCTGCATTTCGGGCCATCTATCGCCCTGAGCACCAGAACGACGAGTTTGAGGGTGGCCACACCAATGCGGTGAAGCTTCAGACTCTATGGAGGATTCTGCACACCCTCCTGACAAAGTCCATCATCCCCAGCCTGCTATCGGGTCACTTGATCACCAACAGAGGGATGATTTCCCTCCACTCCATGAAAACCCTGTCGAGCCACTTCATATGGGAGCTGTGATTGCTACCACCTTCGCCAGGTTTCTGGGGCGGGACCGAGTGGGCACGATGCATTTGGGGGCATCATCACAGGATGGTGCTGCACTTCGATGTGGACGTGATGGGATGCTTAATCATTGGCCGGACCTAGCCATTTCCAGTGGAGACAATCTACAATATGAAGTAGTGCTTCAAAGAGAGCGAGGGATCGAGTACCTTGACGGAATTTGATCTTAGGCCGTTCTAAGGCCGATGGTCGACCCTGCTCCAGTGAAGCCTGATCCCGTGGTCCCTCCTCCAGAACAGCCACCTGCTTGAGCTCCCGGCCACCGCCAGCGTGCCTCACTTCCACGACCTGCACCTCCAACACCATCATCATCTTCTAGAGCTGGTTCTTCCACCTCTAGGGATCATCTAGTGGAGAGGATGGATAGCCACAAGATTAACATTGTGGGGGTCACCACTTGGCTCGACCGCGCCACATATTTATTAGAGATTATGGCTTGATGCCAGGGTGTCCTTCAGGAGGATGAGCAGGGGCCTTCAACCCGTGAGAGATAGCCGACGAGTGAGACATGTGGCAGAGTCAGTTTATTTCGTCCCATTTCTCGACTTGGAACTCTGAACTCTTTGATCTTTCATTTTATTTTTCTTTCCTTTTATCCAGTGTGTGTGTGAACAATTAGTACTACTAATATCGTATTGTTATATGTAATAACCTCCTCTCGAGTGAGAATGTGTATGTTTGTGTTTGCTTTTGTCTTCTCCTTGAAGCTCCAATATCCAACCCCAGAATAAATTCCTAATTTCACTCACCAAGCCATGCGGTAAAATCGTTCTACCCCTATCGTACGCCATTGAGGGCAATGTCGAGCTTAACTGGGGGGGGGGGGTAGTTTATTATTATTCTTGTGTGAGTGTGATTGAATGATTGGAGCCTTGATGTATGCCCAAATTTGAAAATTTTGAGGGCTCCAAGAAATTCTTGCATGATCAAAGTGGCCGGTTTGTGGGAGAATCTCGTGTTTATTGGCATTGACCTTGAATTATTGCATGTGATCGAGTGTGTCCTATGATGATGACTGAGAGGTGTATTAGGATAGTGCAAAGGTTTAGTTCTCATGTGTGCAAAAATAAATGGATGTCTTGACTCGATTACTTGTTGATTACAATTGCCATGCATTGTGTTTTGTGAATTGGAATGGATGATTGGGTGACTAGGTAACCATGAGAGTTTTGAGTCGATCGTTTTCTTCTTGTGTGCTAAGATGTCTCTTACCATGGCGAGTAACATCACAGTTGTCACCAGTGAGTATGATTGAGGCATAGGATTAGTCCATGCCCAAATGTTGATTGTCCCGAAATGCTTTATCCCCTAGTCAACCCCTTTGAGCCTTGTGACTTTGGGGGTCGTTCTCTTGTAGGAGCATTTTGCTTGTGAGCTTACTGATGTTTGATAAAATGAACGACCCCCATCCTTCCTTTGTGCCAACCCGGATCGATATTTAAACATACTTACCCTATATTGCACCCATTAAGGTTTATACTTGGGCCTTAGGTGGGATTTAATTGTGATATTCTGGTTGAGTAAGTCCAAAACATACAATAAGGCAGAATTGTGCTCCAAATGTCTTGTAATGTTGATGGCAATGTGATTCATTGATTGGTTTAGTCATATAAACACATAAACCATTTAATTGTGTCATAATGACAAATGAGGACAAGTACAAACTCTTAGTATCGAGTCCAAATCATACAATAAGGGGGATTTCTGCTCCAAATGTCTTGTAATATTCATGGACAAGTGATTCATTGATGAGTTTACTCATATAAACTTATAAAACTGCTTAATTGTGTAATAAAGACAAACTTGCAAAAGTAAGAACTCTTAGTATCGAGTCAAAATAATACAATAAGGGGGATTTTTGCTCCAAATGTCTTGTAATGTTGATGTAGATGTGATTCATTCAATTGATTTAGTTATATAAACACAAACACCGCTCAATTATGTCATAGTGAATAAACGTGCACAAGTACGAACGCTTAGTATCGAGTTCAAAACATACAATAAGGTGGATTTGTGCTACAAATGTCTTGTAATGTTGATGTGATTCGTTGATTTGTTTACTAATATAAATACATAAACCGCTTAATTATTTTATAATGACAAAAAGTGTACAAGTACGAACTTTTAGTACCAAATCCAAATCATACAATAAGGGGGGATTATTGCGTCAAATGTCTTATAATGTTTATGGACATGTGATTCATATATTGGTTTAGTCATATAAACTTATAAACTGCTTAATTGTGTCATAATGTCAAAACTTGCACAAGTACGAGCTCCTAGTACCGAGTCCAAATCATACAATAAGGGGGAATTGTGCTCAAAATGTCTATAATGTTAATGGACATGTGATTCATTGATTGGTTTAGTCATATAAACACATAAACTGCTTAATTGTGTCATAATGACAAAACGTGCACGAGTACGAACTCTAAGTAATGAGTTCAAATTGCACAATTAGGGGGATTTGTGCTCCAAATGTCTTTTAATGTTTACGGACAAGTGATCTATTGATTGGTTTGGTCATATTAACACATAAACTGCATAATTGTGCAATAATGACATAACGTGCACAAGTACGAGCTCTTAGTACCGAGTCCAATTCATATAATACGAAAGATTCACATTCCAAATGTCTTGTAATGTTGATGGACATGTGATTAAATTACTGTTTTAGTCATATCACATAAACCGCTTAATTGGGTCATAATGACAACGTGCACAAGTACGAACTTTTAGTATCGAGTCCAAATTGTAAAATAAGGTGGATTCATGCTCCAAATGTCTTGTAATATTGATAGATATGAGATCTTTGATTATTTTAGTCCTATAAACCCATAAACAACTTAATTGTGTCATAATGACTAGAAGTTCTCGAGTACGAACTCTTGGTATAAACTCCAAATCATACAATAAAGTGGATTCGTGCTCTAAATGTCTCGTAATGTTAATAAACATGTGATTGATTGATTGGTTTAGTCATATAAACACATAAATCGCTTAATTGTGTCATAATAACAAAAGGTGTACAAGTACGAACTCTTAGTACCGAAAGTCAAATTATACAATAAGGGGGATTCGTGCTACAAATGTCTTGTTATGATGATGGATATGTCATTCTTTGATTGTTTTAGTCATATAAACACACATAAACTGCTTAATTGTGTCATAATGACAAAGTGTGCACGAGTACAAACTCTAAGTACGAATTCCAAATCACACAATAAGGGAGATTCGTGCTCCAAATGTCTCGTAATGTTGATGGATATGTGATTGATTGATTGATTGGTTTAGTCATTTAAACACATAACCCACTTAATTGTGTCATAATGAGAAAACGAGAACAAATACGAACTGTTAGTACCGAGTCCAAATCATACAATCAAGGGGATTTGTACTCCAAATTTCTTGTAATTTTGATGTGATTCATTGATTGGTTTAGTTATATAAACACATAAATTGCTTAATTTTATCATAATGACAAAACTTGCACAAGTACGAACTCTTAGTACCGAGTGAAAATCATACAATAAGGTGGATTTATGCTCTATATATCTTGTAACATTGACTTAATTTTTTGATTGGTTTATTCATATAAATACATAAATTGATTTATTGTGTCATAATGAGAAAACGTGCACAAGTACGAACTCTTAGTATCGAGTCCAAATCGTACAATAAGACCGATTTATGCTCCAAATGCCTTGTAATTGTGTCATAATGACCCCGCTCACCCCACATGAAGTTACTCGAGCTCAAATTAGATCTTCACATGGACCATGGGCCAAGAGACGAATTAAGATGTTCAAAGAGATCTTGGGGGCATTCAAGATGGGTGAAAATGGTTCTGCGAGCAAGGCCTACGAGTTTGTTGATGTGAAATCGATTGGCAGAACCTATAATTCTCGTGGTCCAAAGATGAAGGCCCGAATACAACGATACAAGGATCAAATGGGATCATTCTTGATAGATATGGAATTGCATCGAGGAAATCCCATCACATTACTATAATTTGCAGACCAGAATCACGAGAAGATGGGCTTGGAGAAAGGAGTGAAGATTCGGCCCAAAAGAAGGGAATTCCCCCATGGTGTGAATAGTAGGTGTGAACGGAACGCAAGTGTGAAAGGAATATCAAGTGTGAACACAAGCCATGTATGGGAAGAGTTTAATGCTAGAATTAAGGGTTGAAAAGTCAAATTTGTTTCCTTTTCTTTGTAGGACTTTGTTTACTTGTTTGTTAAGGTTTTTGTTTTCCTTTTTCAAGTAGGAGTGGGTTTTCCTTAGTTGTTTTGTGTTTAAATTCATGGGTCTATAATAGGATTCCAACCAATGTATTTTACATTCAAGTTTTTATTCAATCAAATTACAAGTGAGTTTGTGTGAGTTCCTTTGTGAACGTTTTTGCTTAATATCTCCTTTGAGGATTCAGGAGAATTGAGTGGTCTCTTATCAACTAGAGAACGCGTCTAGTTGTGGCGAGCATCGACTATATCAATTGCCCCTTTCCACGAGTTGGTGCTGTCCGGTTGGTTTAATATACCAATTGCCCTTCATCACGAGTTGGGATTGTCCGATTGATTCGCATCTATCTTTATTTTTCGAGTTCAAGAAAGGCGACATCAAGAAAATCAAGAAAGTCAAGAAAATCAAGAAAATCAAAGAATCAAGAAAATCCAGAATAGATCGTTTTCAAGAAAATCAAGAAAAGATCGTTGGAGCTGCGTACTTTGGTCATATAATCCGAGTTCGAGGGTTATCTTCGGATTTGGATCATATCAAGTGGTATCAGAGCCTTAGGTTTAAACTCGGTGGCAATTTGAAGAAGAAGCTCTTGAAGATCAAGAATGGAGGACTACAGAGCTTGGCATGGTGTCCCCTATAAGAGTAACCATCACTATAAACATCGAGATAGCTACGACGAGTATGGAGAACATTTGCAACTTATGGATGGCATAGAGGTTCCCACTTTTCAAGGCCGAAGTAATCCAGATGCATACTTAGATTGGGAAGAGAAGATGGAGATTGTATTTGATTGGTATGAGTGTTCTGAGAAAGAGAAGGTTACATTTGCTGCTAGTACATTCATTCATCATGCTCTTGATTGGTGGACTCAAGAATGCTCTAGGAGTAGACTTTTTAGAGAGGAACGACCAGCAAAGACATGGAAGGAGATGAAGCAACGGATGAGAAGGAGGTATGGCCCTACACAACGTGAGATGCATCGAGCACTTGATGTTCTTCGACAAGGTTCTAATAGCGTGTATGATTATTATAAGAAGATGAAGGGCCTAATGGCTCGAGCTGATTTTGATGAAGATGAGGAGGAAACTGTAGCTCGATTTCTCAATGGTCTTAATCGTTGCATAAGGCATGTGGTGGAGATTCAGCCTTTTATTGATTTGAATGAGTTGGTACAAATGGCAATCGAAGTAGAGAAGCAGCAAAAGAGAGGTTATACACGACATATTGCTTCTTCAACCAATCCAAGTTTGTCAAATGCAACAAAGGCTTCATATCCACGACATGAAGATCCGAAGCCCACTCTCAAATCAAATCCATCACCTATATCTTCAAGGGTAACATGCAATGACAAAACTCAGATCTGGTTTTCGTTCTAGTAATGTTGTGTGCTACAAGTGTCAAGAAAAAGGTCACATGGGGAGTCAATCCCCTAGAAAAATTCGTGTGCCACTCTTGGAGAATAAAAAGGACGAGAATGTTCATGTTGAAGAGAGTGAAAATGAAGAAAATCCGGTTAGAGGGAAGTTATTTGGCTATTATTCTACACCTCCAGCATTGCATCTCAATTCCAAAAAAGAGATGGATATGAATGAAGTTGAAAAGAAAGAACAAGAAGATGGCAATGGGAAAGTTCTAGTAGAAGCTAAAGACGAGGATGAGAAAGAAGTTGGTTTGAGTACAACAATGAATCTGCTTACTTCCCAACTAGAACAGACATTCAAAGAAGAAGTGGCAGAATTAGAAGAGGTATTAGACGAGAAAGAAGAGGTTCTTGTTGAAGTACTTACTATAGTCACTTGTGAAGAGGATGCACAAGCTTTAATTTTATCTCAGGAAGAACCCGAACTTGAAGTAGACGATGAAGAGAAGGTGTTGCCTATCACCAACATGATAGTGCATTTTGATCATGATGAGATAAATTTAAAGGAGGGTCCAAAACAGTCACTTATTGAAGAAAAGCTACAGATCATGTTGAGTTGACCATTGAAGATGAAATTCTACCCAAGGACGTCTATGACAATGAAGATATGGAGTTCGTTATTGGAGATGAAGTGCCATACAATGAAGTACATATTAGAGAGAGACGAAGACTGGAAGAGTTTGTTGATGAGCTTAGCATTCAAGGAGCATACTCTAGCTCGTGGCTAATGAATTCGTACAAGAGAGGCTACTTGAAACAACAAGATTTGAGGTCAAATCTTCTTCAAGAGAGAGGGAATGATGCGACCCCGCTCACCCCACATGAAGTTACTCGAGCTCAAATTAGATCTTCACATGGACCATGGGCCAAGAGACGAATTAAGAGGTTCAAAGAGATCTTGGGAGCATTCAAGATGGGTGAAAATGGTTCTGCGAGCAAGGCCTACGAGTTTGTTGATGTGAAATCGATTGGCAGAACTTATAATTCCCGTGGTCCAAGGATGAAGGCCCGAATACAACGATACAAGGATCAAATGGGATCATTCTTGAGGATATGGAATTGCATCGAGGAAATCCCATCACATTACTATAATTTGCGGACCAGAATCACGAGAAGATGGGCTTGGAGAAAGGAGTGAAGATTCGGCCCAAAAGAAGGGAATTCCCCCATGGTGTGAATAGAAGTTGTGAACGGAACGCAAGTGTGAAAGGAATATCAAGTGTGAACACAAGCCATGTATGGGAAGAGTTTAATGCTAGAATTAAGGGTTGAAAAGTCAAATTTGTTTCCTTTTCTTTGTAGGACTTTGTTTACTTGTTTGTTAAGGTTTTTGTTTTCCTTTTTCAAGTAGGAGTGGGTTTTCCTTAGTTGTTTTGTGTTTAAATTCGTGGGTCTATAATAGGATTCCAACCAATGTATTTTTCATTCACGTTTTTATTCAATCAAATTACAAGTGAGTTTGTGTGAGTTCATTTGTGAACGTTTTTGCTTAATATCTCCTTTGAGGATTCAGGAGAATTGAGTGGTCTCTTATCAACTAGAGAACGCGTCTAGTTGTGGCGAGCATCGACTATATCAATTGCCCCTTTCCACGAGTTGGTGCTGTCCGATTGGTTTAATATACCAATTGCCCTTCATCGCGAGTTGGGATTGTCCGATTGATTCGCATTTATCTTTATTTTTCGAGTTCAAGAAAGGCGACATCAAGAAAATCAAGAAAGTCAAGAAAATCAAGAAAATCAAGAAAATCAAGAAAATCAAAGAATCAAGAAAATCCAGAATATATCGTTTTCAAGAAAATCAAGAAAAGATCGTTGGAGCTGCGTACTTTGGTCATATAATCCGAGTTCAAGGGTTATCTTCGGATTTGGATCATATCAAGTGGTATCAGAGCCTTAGGTTTAAACTCAGTGGCAATTTGAAGAAGAAGCTCTTGAAGATCAAGAATGGAGGACTACAGAGCTTGGCATGGTGTCCCCTATAAGAGTAACCATGACTATAAACATCGAGATAGCTACGACGAGTAAGGAGAACATTTGCAACTTATGGATGGCATAGAGATTCCCACTTTTCAAAGCCGAAGTAATCCAGATGCATACTTAGATTGGGAAGAGAAGATGGAGATTGTATTTGATTGGTATGAGTGTTCTGAGAAAGAGAAGGTTACATTTGCTGCTAGTACATTCATTCATCATGCTCTTGATTGGTGGACTCAAGAATGCTCTAGGAGTAGACTTTTTAGAGAGGAACGACCAGCAAAGACATGGAAGGAGATGAAGCAACGGATGAGAAGGAGGTATGGCCCTACACAACGTGAGATGCATCGAGCACTTGATGTTCTTCGACAAGGTTCTAATAGCGTGTATGATTATTATAAGAAGATGAAGGGCCTAATGGCTCGAGCTGATTTTGATGAAGATGAGGAGGAAACTGTAGCTCGATTTCTCAATGGTCTTAATCGTTGCATAAGGCATGTGGTGGAGATTCAGCCTTTTATTGATTTGAATGAGTTGGTACAAATGGCAATCGAAGTAGAGAAGCAGCAAAAGAGAGGTTATACACGACATATTGCTTCTTCAACCAATCCAAGTTTGTCAAATGCAACAAAGGCTTCATATCCACGACATGAAGATCCGAAGCCCACTCTCAAATCAAATCCATCACCTATATCTTCAAGGGTAACATGCAATGACAAAACTCAGATCTGGTTTTCGTTCTAGTAATGTTGTGTGCTACAAGTGTCAAGGAAAAGGTCACATGGCGAGTCAATGCCCTAGAAAAATTCGTGTGCCACTCTTGGAGAATAAAAAGGACGAGAATGTTCATGTTGAAGAGAGTGAAAATGAAGAAAATCCGGTTAGAGGGAAGTTATTTGGCTATTATTCTACACCTCCAGCATTGCATCTCAATTCCAAAGAAGAGATGGATATGAATGAAGTTGAAAAGAAAGAACAAGAAGATGGCAATGGGAAAGTTGTAGTAGAAGCTAAAGACGAGGATGAGAAAGAAGTTGGTTTGAGTACAACAATGAATCTGCTTACTTCCCAACTAGAACAGACATTCAAAGAAGAAGTGGCAGAATTAGAAGAGGTATTAGACGAGAAAGAAGAGGTTCTTGTTGAAGGACTTACTATAGTCACTTGTGAAGAGGATGCACAAGCTTTAATTTTATCTCAAGAAGAACCCGAACTTGAAGTAGAAGATGAAGAGAAGGTGTTGCCTATCACCAACATGATAATGGATTTTGATCATGATGAGATAAATTTAAAGGAGGGTCCAAAACAGTCACTTATTGAAGAAGCTACAGATCATGTTGAGTTGACCATTGAAGATGGAATTCTACCCAAGGACGTCTATGACAATGAAGATATGAGTTCGTTATTGGAGATGAAGTGCCATACAATGAAGTTCATATTAGAGAGAGACGAAGACTGCAACAGTTTGTTGATGAGCTTAGCATTCAAGGAGCATACTCTAGCTCGTGGCTAATGAATTCGTACAAGAGAGCCTAATTGAAACAACAAGATTTGAGGTCAAATCTTCTTCAATAGAGAGGGAATGATGCGACCCCGCTCACCCCACATGAAGTTACTCGAGCTCAAATTAGATCTTCACATGGACCATGGGCCAAGAGACGAATTAAGAGGTTCAAAGAGATCTTGGGAGCATTCAAGATGGGTGAAAATGGTTCTGCGAGCAAGGCCTACGAGTTTGTTGATGTGAAAACGATTGGCAGAACTTATAATTCTCGTGGTCCAAAGATGAAGGCCCGAATACAACGATACAAGGATCAAATGGGATCATTCTTGATGGATATGGAATTGCATCGAGGAAATCCCATCACATTACTATAATTTGCGGACCAGAATCACGAGAAGATGGGCTTGGAGAAAGGAGTGAAGATTCGGCCCAAAAGAAGGGAATTCCCCCATGGTGTGAATAGAAGGTGTGAACGGAACGCAAGTGTGAAAGGAATATCAAGTGTGAACACAATCCATGTGAGGGAGGAGTTTAAGGCTAGAATTAAGGGTTGAAAAGTCAAATTTGTTTCCTTTTCTTTGTAGGACTTTGTTTACTTGTTTGTTATGGTTTTTGTTTTCCTTTTTCAAGTAGGAGTGGGTTTTCGTTAGTTGTTTTGTGTTTAAATTCGTGGGTCTATAATAGGATTCCAACCAATGTATTTTTCATTCAAGTTTTTATTCAATCAAATTACAAGTGAGTTTGTGTGAGTTCCTTTGTGAACGTTTTTGTTTAATATCTCCTTTGAGGATTCAGGAGAATTGAGTGGTCTCTTATCAACTAGAGAACGCGTCTACTTGTAGCGAGCATCGACTATATCAAGTGCCCCTTTCCACGAGTTGGTGCTGTCCTATTGGTTTAATATACCAATTGCCCTTCATCACGAGTTGGGATTGTCCGATTGATTCACATCTATCTTTATTTTTCGAGTTCAAGAAAGCCGACATCAAGAAAATCAAGAAAGTCAAGAAAATCAAGAAAATCAAGATAGTCAAAGAATCAAGAAAATCCAAAAAAGATCGTTTTCAAGAAATTCAGGAAAAGATCGTTGGAGCTGCGTACTTTGGTCATATAATCCAAGTTCGAGGGTTATCTTCGGATTTGGATCATATCATCATCTAAAAACATAAACCGCTTAATTGTGTCATAATGACAAAATGTGCACAAATACGAACTCTTAGTAACAAGTCCAGATTGTACAATAAGGGGATTCATGCTCCAAATGTCTTGTAATGTTGATGGATATGTGACTCTATTAATTTTTTAGTCATATAAGCACACTAACCACTTAATTGTGGCATAATGACAAAATATGCACGAGTACGAACTCTTACTACAAATTCAAGTCATTAAATAAGGGGGATTTGTTCTCCAAATATCTCATAATGTTGATGGACCTGTGATTGATTAATTGATTTGTTTAGTCATATAAACACATAACCGCTTAATTGTGTCATAATGACAAAACGTCCTCAAGTACGAACTCTTAGTACTGAGTCAAAATCATACGATAAGGGGAATTTGAGCTCCTACTGTCTTGTAATGTTGATGGATATGTAATTCATTGATTGGTTTAGCATATAAACACATATAACGCCTAATCGTGTGATAATGACAAAACGTGCACTAGAACAAACTCTTAGTACCGTGTCTAATTAATACAATAAGGGAAATTTGAGCTCCAAATTACTTGTAATGCTGATGAAATGTAATTCATTAAATTGATTTAGTCATATAAACACATAGACCGCTTAATTATGTCATTATGACAAAACATGCACAAGTACGAACTCTTAGTACCGAGTCCAAATCACAAAAGAAAGGGAATTTATGCTCCAAATGTCTTGAAATAATAATGGACATGTGATTAAATAATTTGATTCAGTCATATAAACACACATAGAACACTTAATTGTGTCATAATGACAAAACATGCACAAGTACAAAGTTTTAGTACCGAGTCCAAATCATACCGTAAGGGGGATTTGTGCTCCAAATGTCTTGCAATGTTGATGTGATTCATTAATTGGTTTATTCATATAAACCCATAACCTGATTAATTGTGTCATAATGACAAAACGTGCACAAGAACGAACTCTTATTACTGAGTCCAAATTATAGAATAAGGGGGATTTGTGTTCCCAATGCCTTGTAATATTGATGGACAAGTGATTCATTGATTGGTTTAGTCATAAAAACACATGAACCGCTTAATTGTGTCCTAATGACAAAAAGTGACAAGTACGAACTCTTAGTACTGAGTCTGAATCATATAATAAGGGGAATTTGAGCTCCAAATATCTTATAATGTTGATGGATATGTAACTCACTGATTGGTTTAGCATGTAAACACATATAACGCTTAATTGTGTCATAATGACAAAACGTGCACTAGAACAAACTCTTAGTACCGAGTCAAATTCATACAATAAGGGAAATTTGAGCTCCAAATGTCTTATAATGCTGATGAAAATATAATTCATTAAATTGATTTAGTCATATAAACACCTAGATCGCTTAATTGTGTCATACTGACAAAACATGCACAAGAACGAAGTTTTCGTATCGAGTCCAAATCATACAATAAGGGAGGATTTGTGCTCCAAATGTCTTGCAATGTTGATGTGATTCATTGATTAGTTTAGTCATATAAACACATAAACTGCTCAATTGTGTCATAATGACAAAACGTGCATAAGAACAAACACTTTGTACTTAGTCCAAATCATACAATAAGGGGGATTTGTGGTCCAAATGTCTTTTAAAGTTGATGGATATGTAATTCATTTAATTAATTGTTATATAAACACATAGACGGCTTAGTTGTGTCATAATGACAAAACGTGCACAAGTACGAACTCTTAGTAGCGAGTCCAAACCATATAATAAGGGGGATTTGTGCTCCAAATATCTTTTAATATTGATGGACAAGTGATTCATTTATTAGTTTAATCATATAAACACATTAACCGCTTAATTGTGTCATTATGACAAAACGTGCACAAACACAAACTTTTAGTACCGATTCCAAATTGTACAATAAGTTGGATTCGTGCTCCAAATGTCTGATAATGTTGATGGACTTTTGATTGATTACTTGGTTTAGTCATATAAACACATAAACCACTTAATTGTGTCATAATGACAAAACGTGCACAAGTATGAAATCTTATTACCGAGTCCAAATTATACAATAAGGGGGATTTGTGTTCCCAATGTCTTGTAATATTGATGGACAAGTGATCCATTGATTGGTTTAGTCATATAAACACATAAACCGCTTAATTGTGTCATAATGACAAAAAGTTAAAAGTACGAACTCTTAGTACTGAGTCCAAATCATACAATAAGGGGAATTTGAGCTCCAAATGTTTGTAATGTGATGTGACCAAAGTACGCAATTTCAACGCCTTTTTATGGTTTTCTGGTGTCGCCTTTCTTGAATACGAAAATAAAAGATTGGATGGAATCAATCGGACAATTCCTAACTCGTGATGAAGGGCAATTGGTATATTAAACCAATCGGACAACACCAACTCGTGGAAAAGGGGAAATTGATATAGGGTAGAAGCTTGCCACAACTAGACCCGTTCTCTAGTTGATAAGAGACATGTGAAACCTCTGGAGCACTCTCGACAGAAGCTTGCACAAAGAACCAGTTCGTATGAACTTGAAACTTGAAAGTTGATTGCTAATAGAATGAATTACAATGAGGGACTCATCCTCCTTATATAGGCAACGAAAATCCAATCCTAAACTAAGAAACAAAGCAAACAAATGACCAAATCCTACAATTAATAGGAAAATGAAATCTTAAAGGAAAAGTAAAAGTAAAAGGAAAACATAATCCTTAAAAGACAAGGAAAAGACTTGGTCAACAACTCCATAGATTCTAGCCTTGCAATCCTCCCTCACATGGCTTGTGTTCACGCCTGATATTCCTTTCACACTTGTATTCCTTTCACAACTTGGTTCACACCATGGGAGATCTTCCTTCCTTCTACCAAGCCCATCTTCTCTTCATTCTATTCCATAAATCGTAGCAATGTGATGGACTTTCCTTCTAGCAAGTCCACGTACATCAAGAATGATCCCATTTGATCCTTGTATTGTCGTACTCGGACCTTCATCTTTGGACCACGAGAATTATATATTCTGCCAATTGATTTCACATCAACAAACTCGTAGGCATTGCTTGCAAAGACCTTTTCTTCCACCTTGAATGCTTCCGAGCTCTCTTCAAACCTATTAAATCGTCTCTTGAATCATGGTCCATGTAGATATCTAGTTTGAGCTCGAGTGACGTCATGCGGGGTGAGCGGGGTCGTATCATTCCCTCCCTCTTGAAAAAGATTTGACCTCAAATCTGACTGCGACATATAAATTCTCTCCCGTGGCTTCATTATTTTCCCACTTGACCATGCACCTTGAAAGCTAAGATGATCCACAAACTCTTCGAGTCTTCGTCTTTCTCTAATATGAGCCTCTATGTATGTCACTTCATCCCCAAATAACAAAATCAATGTGGTCAATAATCTCACCATAATCTTGCATATGAATTGACTTACATTGAAGACGGTTTTGACCATGCTCATGAGCATGATTCGGTGGTGTGGGAGTACTTGAGGCGTTGATTATTCCTTGGGACGAAATTTGATGTTGTTGTAGGGCTTCTCCCATGACAAAATCAACTTGAGTAGGTGATGACTCATTAATTGTTGGCTTCACATCTTTACTACGTGCTAGCATCAATGTCTTGGGCTCCAAGACACTAGTTTCACCTTTCTTCTGGCCCACGACACTAGCTTCCTTCTCTTGCTCCCTGTTTCTTTGTAATTGTAATTGGTCTTCATAGAATTCCTTGGGAGACAAGGGTTTCAACACGACCTTCTTTCCTTTATGCATCAGTAGATATTTGTTGGAGACTCCATCGTGTTGTGTGCTTCGATCGACTTGCCATGGTCTTCCAAGTAGGACGTATGTAGCTTGCATAGGTACCACATCACATAGAACCTCGTCCTTATAGCCTCCAATCTCAAATCTCAGAAAAGTTTGTCTTGCTACCTTGATTGAACCATCCTCGTTAAGCCATTGGAGCTTGTAGGGTTTGAGATGCTTCATTGTGCTTAATCCGAACTTCTTAACTGCAATGGTGCTAATAGCGTTAGTACAACTCCCGCCATCAATCACCAAGGAGAGTAACTTTCCATCCACCACACACCTCGTATGAAACAAGTTCTCTCTTTGCTCGAGATCTTCCTTGGGTTGTACGCTTAAGATTCTCCTTGTAACAAACAAACTTCCGGGAGGTGCTTGCATTTCTATTGATTCATCGACCTCCGAATCCGATGTCTCCTTTGCGTGCTCCTCATCTTTAGAATCCGAAACATACTCCCCATTCTCTAGCATGATGAGAGCTCTTCGATTAGGGCATTGGTTGGCCATATGCCCTCTTCCATGACACTTGAAGCATTGAATGCTTCCACTAGAGCCCGCGGGCTTGTCTCTTGGTGCTTCGACCTTGGCTGCCGGTTTTGGTGCTTCTGGCTTCATTATGGCTGGCCTATGGTTTGAAGTCGAAGGCGCTTCTGACCTTGGTGCAACTTGAGGTGCCACGAAACTCCTCCCAACGTTTCTACGTTGTTGTTTCTCTACTTTGGCTGCCATTGCAACCAAGTCATACAAATCCGCATAGGGATGAATTTCCACCATGTTCCTGATTTCTCGATTAAGACCATATAGGAATCGTGCAATATTAGCGTCACGATCTCCCTCCAAATCCGCTCGAATCATTAGCATCTCCATTTCGCGGTAATAATCCTCTACGCTCTTGGTACATTGGCACAGAAGCTATAGGTCTTATGCATCTCTCTACGATGAGAAGTAGGAATAAATCGATCACGCATAACGATTCTCATCTCTGCCCGCGTCTCAATAGGCGGCTCCCTATTCTTCCTCCTCCTCGTGCTTACTTGATCCCACCACACGATGGCATAATCCGTAAACTCGAGTGCAGCCACTTGTACTTTCTTCCTCTCGGAATAGTTGTTGTAGTCGAAGATCAATTCCATCTTTCGTTCCCAATCTAGGTAAGCCTCGGGATTAGTAGACCCCCTGAACAATGGAATATTGACTTTAATATTCCTCAAATCATCATCTTCCTCTCGAGGATAGCCCTCGTCTTCCTTATATTCGACCTCTTCTTCACGAGGTCGGCCTCGCCTTGCATGTAGACCTCCCAATGATTGATGTCGTCTTGCGTGTTCAATCAAAGGTCACTGCACAGTTCTTCGATCTCCGTGCTCTTCTCCTTCTCCTCTGCCCCTCTCGGAATTAGGGTTTGGTTGTACCTCTTGCACAGCAAGGGGGATTTGTGCTCCAAATGTCTTGCAATGTTGATGTGATTCATTGATTAGTTTATTCATATAAACATATAAACTGCTTAATTGTGTCATAATGACAAAACGTGCACAAGTACGAACTCTTAATATCGAGTCCAAATCATACAATTACGGGGATTTGGGCTCCAAATGTCTTGTAATGTTGATCGACATGTAATTCATTAAATTGATTTAGTCACATAAACACATAGATTGCTTGATTGTGTCATAATGACAAAACGTGCACAAGTATGAACTCCTAGTACCGATTCCAAATTGCACAATACGAGGGATTCGCGCTCCGAATTTCTGATAATGTTGATGGACTTGTGATTGATTAAGTGGTTTAGTCATATAAACACATAAACCACAATTGTGTCATAATGAAAAAACGTGCACAAGTATGAACTCTTAGTACTGAGTCCAAATCATACAATAAGGGGGCTTTGTGCCTCAAATGTGTTTTAATATTGATGGACAAGTGATTCATTTATTGGTTTGGTCAAATAAACACATAAACCACATTATTGTGTCATAATGACAAAAGGTGCACAAGTACGAACTCTGAGTACCGAGTTTAAATTGTACAATAACGGAGATTCGTGCCGAAAATATCTTGTAATGCTGATGGACATGTTATTCTTTTATTTTTTAGTCATATAAACACATAAATCGCTTAATTGTATCATAATGACAAAATGTGCACGAGTATGAACTCTTAGTACGAATTCCAAATCATATAATAAGGGGGATTCATGCTCCAAATGTCTCGTAATGTTGATGTACATGTAATTGATTGGTTTAGTCATATAAAGAAATAAACCACTTAGTTGTGTCACAATGAGAAATTGTGAACAAGTATGAACTCTTAGTACCGAGTCCAAATCATACAATCAGGAGGATTTGTGCTCCAAATGTCTTGTAATGTTTTATGTGAATCATTGATTGGCTTAGTCATATAAACACATAAATCGCTTAATTGTTTCATATTGACAAAACTTGCACAAGCCCGAACTCTTAGTACCGAGTGCAAATCATACAATCAAGAGGATTTGTGCTCCAAATGTCTTGTAATGGTTTATGTGAATCATTGATTGGTTTATTCATATAAACACAAAAATCGATTAATTGTCTGATAATGACAAACATGCACAAGTACAAACTCTTAGTACCGAGTCCAAATCATACAGTAAGAGCGATTTGTGCTCTAAATGTCTTGTATTGTTGATGGACATGTGATTCATTGATTTGTTTAGTCATATAAACAAATAAAAAGTTTAATTGTGTCATAATGACACAACGTGCACGAGTACAACTCTTAGTACGGACTCCAAATCATACAATACGGGGTTTGGTTCTCCAAATGTCTTATAATGTTGATGGACATGTGATTCATTGATTGGTTTGGTCATATAAACACATAAATCGCTTTATAGTGTCATAATGACAAAATGTGCACAAGTACGAACTCTTACTAACGAGTCCAAATCATACAATAAGGGGAACTCGAGCTCCAAATGTCTCGTAATGTTGATGGACATGAGATTCAATTATTGGTTCAGCCACCATAATGACAAAATAGGCACAAGTACGAACTCTTAGTACTTAGTCCAATCATACAAAAGGGTGATTTCTGCTCCAAATGTCTTGTAATGTTGATGTGATTCATTGATTGGTTTAGTCATATAAGCACATAAACCGCTTAATTGTGTCCTAATGAAAAATGTGCACAAGTAAGAACTCTTAGTACCGAGTGCAAATCATACAATATGTGTCCAAGTGTCTTGTAATGTTAATGTATATGTAATTCATTGATTGGTTTAGTCATATAAACACATAAAATGCTTAATTGTGTCATAATGAGAAAACGTGCACAAGTACGAACTCTTAGTACAGATTCCAAATTGTACAATACGGGGGATTCGGGCTCCAAATGTCTTATAATATTGATGGACTTGTAATTGGTTGATTGATTGACTTGTTTAGTCATATAAACACATAAACCGCTTAATTGTGTCATAATGACAAAATGTGCACGAGTACGCACTCTTTGTACCGATTCCAAATTGTACAATACGGGAGATTCGCGCTCCAAATGTCTTGTAATGTTGATATACTTGAGATTCATTGATTGGTTTAGTCATATGAAAACATAAACTACTTAATTGTGGCATAATGACAAAATTTCCACGAGTACTAACTCTTAGTACAAATTCCAAATCATACAATAATGGGGATTTGTTCTCCAAATGTCTCGTAATGTTTGATTCGGGCTCCAAAGTACACATTTTAACCCTCATATCTTATTCGTTTAGCTTAGTATTTCATCGTTCCTCGACATATTTCACGCTAGGTTGTGCTTGTTTTGATACATTTCAGGTCCTAGCACGTGTGGAAGGGACGAGGTCGAATTTTGGGATAATTGGAGGTCAAAAAGTGAAAAAACCGAAGAAAAGTCCGAAGGCATCCCAGGAAACAACCCATGTTCATGGCCGTACGAGGAAGTTTACGGTCTTCTAAGACCGTGAACTTCGACCATTGATAAGCCATTAATTGCACATGTTTTTACCCCTATTCTGGAGCCGTTTGAGATGGTAATTCTCGTGTTTTAGGCCGATTTCACGCTAGGTTGTGTTTGTTTGTGATATTTCAGGTCCTAGCAAGTGAATGAAGGTTTAGGAGCGAGTTCGGGGTCGATTGGACGAAGATCGGGCGCGAGACAAGTCAAAAAGGAAGCCACACGGGCACTCACACAACTCGCACGGCCGTGCAAGTGACCAATTTGGCCGTGTGGGATTGTGCGAGACTTCACACGGGCACAGATAATTCCCACTCGGCCGTGTGAAGTTGCAGTTTGGCCGTGTGGAATTCTGCGAGGCTTCACACGGCCAGGCTAGGTGAGCTGCACGCCCGTGTGACCTGGCCGTGTAGGAAGCCTGAAATCCAATTACTCGGAACGCGGCGTTTTGACCTCACACGGGCAACTGGGTGTGCCACACGGCCGTGTGGCCCTGCCCGTGTGAATCGGGAATTTATGGTTTTTACCCAATTTCGGGCTGCAAGTGAGAGAATCGGATTTTCAGAGCAAAAACAGAGCCCTAGAGAGAGAAAGTACGAAGAACACATCCTAGAAGCTATCTTGGAGCTGGGTTTCATCAAATCAAGCTTGGAGATCGTCCTAGGAGTAGAAATCATCATCCCAGAGCAGATTCTTCCCATTGTAATGAGTATGACTGCTTTGTTTTCTGTTTCCCCTCTCTCTCTATGGAGTAGAACCCTTCTCTCACTTGGGTATGAAGAACCCTAGTTCTATGTGTTAGGGATTTGATTGTAATGACTTGGGATGATATTACTGCTTGGTTTTAATCGAATGATGCATGTTTATTGAGTCAATTGAAGTCTGATCAGCTTTTCCTGATTTCTGCTGCAACCTGAGATACGATAGTTAGCCAGTTTACTGCTTTGTACTGGAATCCAATTCCAGTAGTGGAGTTCTGTGCTTATTGCTTCAGCTTTCTATCCCGGTGAAGACTAGTCGTATGCCGGGTTGTTAGACTGAGAGGGCTTGGTCAGCTTAAGAGATTCCAAGCTACTGTCGGATCTTCCGCAGTCTAATCAACAGTAAATCGACCCAGGGAAATTACAATTGAGACCTAACTAAGGAGTTAGGGGGACTCATTCCCGAGTGACTCTTCTTTGCTTGAGAAAACCGTACCAATTCCTGCTTTCTTTCTGCTTTTGCTTAAAACAACAAACACTTAACTTAGTTGGCTAGATAATAGATACTCACGGAGTAAGCAGTAGATCTAGACCCCGTGTTGATAATAGAACTTGCCATTTTACTGCATTCCCGGACTACAATTACACTTGGTCGCAGTTTGGTGTTGTGTTTTGGCGTGTCAACCATAAACCATGAATATCGAGGCGTCCAACAAGGTTCATGAAGTTACTGACGACAAGGCAGTTCACGGTCACTAAGACCGTGAACTGTGGCCATTGACCGTGAAGCCAGGACAGTGAAGCGGTGCATTTCGGACGACGCTGAGTTCACGGACTCGTTTATGTATTCACGGTCATGAACTGGCCAACGCGTCCGTGAACTAGTCACTTTCGGGCAAATATGAAGACAACAGCGGGGAGAGAGAAAGGAGAGATGGTTTTTGGAGAAGGAACACTTTCTTTCTCTAGGGTTTCAACCCAAAATACCAAAGGGGAGTTCTAGTGAGAGAGAGAGAGTGCTAGAGTGATCTTGGAGCATCATTGGAGGCTTGGGTGGAGGATTCAAGCCTAGAAGAAGAAGAAGATCTCGAGCTCAAATTTGCACTCTCTCTCTCTCTCTCTCTCTCTCTAGAAACTCACTCTTTTCTCTTGGGTGTTGTAGATACCTAACTAATACTTTGTAATTACTTGTTTAGATTGAATGGTTGTTTCCGGGATTGAGGTATTATTCATATTGATTGTGCATGCTTGTGCTTAGCAATCTAAGGGTTGTGCACGTTTTGTGCTTGACATCCCTTGGTTTGTGCATTTTGGTGCTTAGAAACCTAAGGATTGTGCATGATTGTGCTTAGCATCCTTAGGTTTATGCTTGTTGGTGCTTAGAAATCTAATTAGCCACTTTAACCTAGGTTAATTTAGGGCAAACCTCAATGTTGAATTAAGCAAATCGGTTAAGCGTGATTAAGCCGTCCAACCCTGAGTTGAGTAAGGGAGT